TGTCGTTCAGCTCAATCATGTGTTTCTTAAGCTGCCAGAAGGTGTTGGTGAATACGATAGGATAGTACCAGGTGTTCTGACCACTTGCATCTCGTGCGCCGGTAGCCTCGAGTGTGATGAACCGCCTGGGACCGGGATGCATGGCGGAATATTGCAAAGTACCCGCGTCGGGAATCAGGGAGACGGTGAAGTTGGGATGGTAGTAGGAGGATACAATCTTTGGCGCGTTCTTCTCCTCTTCGCTTTCCACCTCGGCTCTTTCTGGCATATCGCTCAGCAAGTTCCTCGTCTTCGCGATCTTCTTCTTGGGCTGGTATTGGGACAATGGACGGATGAAGTGGTAGGCCTTGCTGTGGTCGTAGCCGGGCTGCGTGGGGTCGAGCACGCTGCCACTCTGCGCAACGTAGAAGTGAGCAAGCAGAGTAGCATTATGCTGCACTTCCCTTGGGACCTTGAACTCGGTATGAATTTCTCTGTTCTCCTTGTAGTCTCCAAACTTGAAGTTCTTCTCATCGATCAACAGCGAGTCCTTAGGCATTGACTTGAGCGGGGGCATTGCGACGGACGAGGAGATGTACATGGCGACGTCCATCTCAGTGCCAGCAGGCCACATGGGCGCGACAGCATAGGGGATATGGCTGTATTGAGCACCAGGATCGAGGGATTGTGGGCGCTGCTCCCATGCGGGAATGACAACGTTGCCGGCTGGTTTGACGGCGGCGACGGAGCCAGTTTGCGCGGGATCGTTGACGGCGGGGGCGGGTTTGGCAGTCTGGGGCATGAAGTACTTCATGCCACCCTGGATAAGCAGGAACAGGCCAACGCTCTGTACAATGGACTTGACGAGCTATCACGGAGCCGTTAGCTATCATCTCGGAGCGGAGGGGTCTTGTTTGCGACTTACACTCTTGCCCTCCTCGGGCGGCGCGGCGGCTGCTTGTGCCTCTGGCATGATGGCAACGTGCGGAACCTTAATTCCGGCTTGAGCAGCTTGTCAGGTGGAAAAGGAAGATGAACTCGCGATGAAGTCTGAACACATAACCTGGAGACTTTCCGAGGAATTGGCGGTTCCGCCGAGGGCCCGTGCCTGTCCCGCGTCAGGGTCTAGCCACATGGGCCTTGAGTTCCCGGCCCAGGTGGCGGTGACCTCATGCACCTCACCGAAATGCATACCCTTTGGAGCTTACCCTTCACCAAGGGATTGCAGCTATGGGTTGATGAGAATGCTGCGCAAAAGGTGCTGCCTAACATCATCTTGACGACCTTATAATGGGGCTACCGCTGCCTTAACCCCTCCTCCGTTGGAGAGGCTCCTCTCAAGCTTCTGTCGCCGCCCCTCCTCAACACGTCAATTGCATTTGACAGCCCGCGTTCCGACTCTAGTTCCCTCGTTCCGAGCATCTCTATCAACCATCCGAACAACCATGGCGGACAACAACGCAACAGCTAGCAATGGCTCTGCCAAGCAGCCCGTGGTTGCCGTATTGTATGTAGACAGGACGTCAACCGATTGATGGAGCGAATAGCTAACTGTGATACAGCTGCGGCGCTTCCAGTGGCACATCGCCAGTCCACATGGAGGCAGCGAGGCAACTTGCGCATGCTCTCCACAAGGCCAACACCAAGGTCGTATACGGCGGCGGCACTGTCGGCCTCATGGGCGAGGTAGCACGAACCCTCGTCTCGCTGTCGGGCCCCGACTCGGTCCACGGCATCATCCCCGGCGCCCTCACTCAACTCGAGCAGCACAACGACCCTGCCAACCCTAACGGCCACTCTATCGACGCAGACAAATATGGACGCACTACTGTCGTCAAGGACATGCATACGCGAAAGCAGATGATGGCTCAGGAAGTCGTCAAGGGTGGACCGGGCGGCGGCTTCGTTGCTCTACCTGGAGGCTACGGAACATTTGAGGAGCTGATGGAGATTACCACCTGGAACCAGCTAGGCATCCACGACATGCCTGTCATCGTGTACAACGTGGACGGCTATTGGAGTGGTCTCATTGAGTGGGTCAAGAATGCTGTGACCAGCGGTTTCGTTGCGCCTACCAACGCTGGCATCATCTCTGAGGCTCTTAGCGCCGACGAAGTGATAACACATCTGAAGGAGTATCAGAGTGCGCCTGGACGCTTCAACTTGACCTGGGAGGAGCAGTAAAGGGTATGTGGTTCAAGGTTGCGGAAAGGCTCGATAACTCCACTCTTCAAACCCCAAAAATGGTTCAAGGCACGTCGGTGCTAGATGGTTAGACAGAATCTCACAGGTGGACTCTGTATTAGTAAATGCATCCATGTAGATTAATTAGACTACACTACAAATCAAAAGGTCTGAGAATCGTTCCCGTAGTACGTACTGAGCAAGTGAGCGTATCCGAACACTCTGGCCGCATATGGTGATCTCACCCGACAATCCCTACAAGCTGACGACATGTTCTGCAAAAGCTTTGCCGGCCCGAGCAACTTATCTTCGGCAATAAACATCGCGGAGCGAGGCTGGTGAGATTACATGCTTTAAAGAGCATGGTACCGGTGCTGAACGGAATGCCTAAGCCCGTTGAGGCAGGAGCGAAACCATGTCCGACGCGCGAGCCCATCTCATTCGACAACCCCGCCAAAAGTCAAGATAGTGACCTCAACGCGCGTATAATGACAAGCTTTGACAAGCCTTTTCCAAGACTGCTTAAATACGCTAGGGTAAGTTGCTCTCACACTCTTCTCACTGCTCTTGCGCCATTTGTCTGCAGCTCTCAGCATGTTCACCAAGTCGGTAGTGACGCCTTTGTTGGCGCTTTCAAGCCTCGCCCTACAAGCTGCTGCTGTCTCTCAGAAGCAATGGACTAAGAGGAGCGACCACTTGTACTTGCCGAAAGAGACTAGCGACTACAAGACCGCGACTGCTCCGAACAATGTCACTATTCGGTACAAGAATCCTGGTATCTGCGAGACCACTCCAGGCGTGGACAGCTACTCTGGATATGTGGATTTGACACCTGATGTGCGTATCAATCTCACCCATACATACAAGCGCTTATTCTAATGCCACATAGGTCCATGTGTTCTTCTGGTTCTTCGAATCTCGTAATGATCCAGCATCGGACCCGTTCACCCTCTGGCTGAACGGAGGTCCTGGATCTGACTCGCTGATCGGCTTATTCGAGGAGAACGGACCTTGCATGATCGATGACAACCTTACAGCAGTATACAACCCATACAGCTGGAACAATGTCTCGAATATGCTGTACATCTCGCAGCCTGTCGGAACTGGTTTCAGCTACCAGAAGCAAGGTGTCGGAAGCTTCAACTCGTTCTCCGAAGACTTCCACTACAACTCTAGCGAATGGCCCGCTACTGGTCGATGGCCTCTGCTCGAGCCGCTGAACACTGGTACTATTGATACTACGGATCTCGCCGCAGTTGCTGTCTGGGTGAGCCAAAACCTGTTATCGAACTCCTTTGGCTAGTGCTAATCTCGTTCGATACATGTAGCACGTTTTCCAAGCCCTTCTGGCCACCATTCCCAAGTTTGATGCCAAGCTTGGAGACTTGGATGCTGCAAGAGACTTCAACCTATTCACCGAGTCGTACGGCGGTCACTATGGCCCAGCATTCTTCAGCTACTTCTACAACCAGAACCTGAAGATCGAGAACGGAAGCATGCCCGGATACCCACTCAACTTCAACTCGCTCGGCATAATCAACGGCATCATTGACGAGGCCATCCAAGCCGAGCATTACCCCGAGTTCGCTGTTAACAACACTTACGGCATCAAGGCGTATAACGACACCGTTTACTCGTACGCCAAGTTCGCGAACAACATGTACAACGGATGTCTCTACCAGATCGCCCTCTGCCGAGCTGCCGCCGAAGGCAACACCACCTACTACCACGCCGATGCAAAGATCACCGAAGCCGAGCTAACACCAGGCGAGATGCAGATCTGCAACGAAGCAGCAGACATGTGCCGTGACAACGTCGAATCTCCATACTACTATTATTCAGGCCGCGGCGTCTACGATATCCGTCACACGTACGAGGACCCGACACCCCCCTCTAACTACGGCGATTACTTGAACCTTGCAGAAATCCAGGATGCTCTCGGTGTTACACTCAACTACTCTGGTAGCAATGGCATATACTATGCTTTCCAAAACACGGGAGACTTCATCTACCCCAACTTCAGGCTCGATCTGGAGTACTTGCTGAGCCAGGATGTGCATGTTAGTCTGGCGTATGGCGATGCTGACTACATCTGTAAGTTCTTCCTGCCCTATCAGGGTTTTGAGATTTCTGACATGTTCAGGCAACTGGTTTGGTGGTGAAGCTATCAGTCTGGCGATGGAGTACACTCACAGCGACGAGTTCCGTGCCGCAGGTTACGCGCCTATGTTGGTTGATGGTACGGAATACGGCGAGGTACGCCAGTATGGCAACTTTAGCTTTGCGCGCGTCTACGAGGCCGGTCATGAGATCCCTTACTACCAGCGTAAGTATTTTTGCTACCTCTGCCCCAACCAGTCTGGGCAGATCACGAGCTTTGCTAACCTGACTTTTAGCTGTTGCCGCGTTGGCATACTTCAACCGTACTCTGTACCACTACGATATCGCGACTGGCGAGGAGAAGGTCACTGCCAACTTGACATCCTCTGGCCCTGCGAATGCAACGCACACGCAATCATTCGTGCCGATTACGTCGTCCATCATTCAGGCCTTCCCTTCGCCTATCTATCCTGCGACGACATCGGGGTACTAAGTCGTACTGTTGTCACCGAGGTCAATGTAGCCTTGGTCTCCAGTGCGTTGGGCTTCATCAAAGTGGTGTGCATGACTATCACGAATGAAAAGAATTTATGAATTTACTCTGCGTAATATGCATGAAGACTAGTGATGCGTGCATGACTTATTCCTAGTACCAAATGATCTATCATCTCTTGCCCTTCCTCAGCTTAGCCCCTGCATCGAAGAGCAGACTTCACGAGAATCGCCCATCATGCTCATCACCGCTGCCTACAGATCTCAGCCTTGAACTCCTCATCATCTTTCCGCCATCCAATCCCAGCATCCTCACTACCAGGTCCCTTCCAGAAAATGCTACCATCAGCATCATCGCGGATAGCCTCGATGATCCTATCCTGGTGGTCATCCTGCATCGTCGCCAACAGCGCCAGCTGCACCAACGACAAGTGCTTTCGTACATCGTAATCCGGGTCGTTCTCGTCGGGCTTGAACGTGTTGAGATCGATGCCGAAGTCCCCTCGTAGAATGCTTTGGTATGTGCGTTCGATCATGGCGTCTGTCACGGGTGCGTTTTTGGGTGTATAGGTACCTAGAGCCTCCTTGGGGAACTTGTCGGTTTGACCTGGTGGGGTGATCTTTGCGATGTCGATGGTCGAGTTATGTGAGGTGTCGATGGGAGGAGGTCGCTTCATCTCCTTGGTGGCCTGAGCGATTGAGAGTGGAGATCTGTCGAGGTCAGGAATGGTTTTCATCACATCAAACGTGACCGATGGGATAGCTGATGAGGATTGGTCAGGAGCGGTTGGGGTTTCCTTCACATCAGACATGGTCGATGAAATAGCCGATGAGGATTGGTCAGCAGGAGTGGGATTTTCTTGCATATCAGACATGGTCGTGGGATGGATAGTGAGTTGTGGATTCTGACTGTAGTGAGCCATCGATGTGAGTTCATGTGCCTGCTGATATGTAGTAAAGAAGTTTGCTAAAAACACAGGACACGATACACGTTTGTGCAAACGACGCGTGGAACAATTTGTCGAGGCCTCGCAATATGTAGGCATCGACGCCGACTGTGGTTAGAGGCTTTTCGTAGCAAAACAAGTCACTGGGAATCGGAGCGGATAGACAAACAGAACTTCGATGTCAAGGTCGTCAAACAGCGTTTGCACCAGGATATGCCTGTACAGGCCTACGTACGCCAGATGTGAACGCCAAACTCCATGCTAAATATTGCAGATGCTTCGAAGGAACGTTTTCATTTCGACGTAGGGAGTGCGAACAGCTGGGGCTGCATGTTGATCTTGCACAAGCGCGCAATACAGCCAGACAATTGCAGAAGGGTTTGTACGCCTTCAAGGATGCGCATATGGGTAAAGCCAATTTCCTGATTGCTGTTAGCCTCTGTAAAAATCGCCCGTTGCGAACCCTCACCTTGATGAATTCCAGCTTTGCGTGCTCACTCAGCGTGTCAATCGTCTTTGTAACTTTGAACATTGTGCTGATGATGTCGTGACACGAGTATCCCAGATCCCACAGCTCTTTCAGTGATGTCAGAGCATCGTCGATACGCTGCTCATGGCACGCCTTGATCATGGCTTGCACCTTGATGGGGTGCGGGCTGTCGACCACCCTGAAGACATTGTCGCCATTGACGAAGCCGAAACCAGCAAATGTCGACTGCAGGTTGTTGATGGCTTGTCGCATATCTCCCTCTGCTGAGAACACTAGTGCCGCAATTCCGTCGTCTGAGTATTTCACGTCTTCGGCTTCGCAGATCTGCATGACGCGGCGCACGACTTGCGCATCGGTAAGGCGGGCGTATCGGAGGATGGCGCATCTCGATTGCAGCGGCTCGATGATCTTGTTTGACTGGTTGCAAGCGAATGCAAATCGGGTTGTTGCACTGTATATCTCCATCGTCCTCCTCAAAGCTTGTTGTGCACCGCTGGTCATGCTGTCCGCTTCATCGAGGATGACCAGCTTCTGCCTGCCCGCGGGAAGTGTGACTTTCTTCTGCGCAAATCCCTTTATCCTGTTGCGGACGACGTCTATACCACGTTCGTCCGAGGCGTTGAGTTCGAGGACAGCCTCTTTGTAGGCATCACCGAGGAGTTGGCGTGCGAGACAGAGGATGGACGTGGTTTTGCCGATACCAGGCATCCCGGAGATGATCATATGGGGCATGTTGCCATCTTTTGCGATGATCTTGAGGCGCTCAATGGTTTCGGTATTGCCGACGACATCATCGAGGTAGACGGGACGGTATTTCTCTACCCTAGGAGGATGTCAGTCTGAACCAGCTGGCGAAGGCCAGGAGCGGTGAATTACCATGGCAGCTCGTAGTTTGCACCGCCGGCCGCATTGGGGTTGGGTTTGACGCCATTGCTGGCAGCGGCTTTGGAGGACTCGGCTTTTGACATTTTGGGCTGTGGTGGTTGACTTGGAGGGGTGACGCGAAACACGCGATGCTCTGCAAACGCGCTTTCACGGGTCGTCCGTCTTGGGACTAGTGCTCACGTGAGCCGGGCACGATCGACGCGCAGCCGCGGCAGCGAAATATCATGCCCTTGGCGCTAAAGATAGATTCGTCCGACGCGACGTCACTTTCGTAGCACAATAGATCAGATCGGGATTTTTTCTCCAGATCACACACTGGCGTCGGTACAAATCGAGGCTATGTTCTTGCACATATTGTCCTGCACGCCTGTACAACGCATAGTACAAAATGATCCTCTCGAGGGATCTTCAGTTGGCATGCCAGATGGGCTTTCAGGTACCGACCGATGCTGCAGGTCCTGAGGTTTCAGCCCCAAACGTCTTTTTCGAGAGGCGCAGCCATCGAGCATCGGGCGCCTGAAGAAACCACCCGATCGCTCGTCAGTCGCTAACAGACGGGCTATTTGCATTGCTCTAGTAGCTTGCGACATGGCGACGGCGTCAAGACACTGGGATCCTGGTAGTTGACAGGGTGACGTATGCGGCTGACGGAAGCGGTCCGTAACCTACCACGTCCACGCATGACAGCGAGCTGTTGTGTAGAAGCAGCCCCAGACGTTTGCTGAGAAACTTGTGAATGCTGAATGTCGCTGGTAATGTTGGCCTTGTCGGCGCAGCCTTGGAGCGCGAACAAGGCGCAGGCGGCGCACGGCGGCAAGGGATGCCAGCATCGGCACCAAGCGCTTGGCTTTGCGATACAAACGAATCGTCTCGTAATCGAGGCAACGCCACGCCCTGCGGATCCCCCAGCAAGGCACACACAAGCCCCGTTGGCTGGCGATTTTAGGCCCGGAAATGGCGGCGGCTGCCCATGCTTGTTACGTGGGCAGGTGCACTAAAGGGCCACAGAATCCGTTACAGGTCCAGACTTGACCTCATCATACGCGTCGTCATCACAAGGCTCGAACGCCCCCTGCGCCGACTAAAGCCTCGCGCCTGCGCCTCTACTTCGCATCGACTGTATTCCTAGTCACAGCTCGTTTGTTTCTGCTTTGTCGCTATTATTCCCTTGTCATCCTCTACTCGCACTGTGCTTGGACAGCGCTCCGCTTTTTGCGACTTCAATTGCGATCTCAAACACAAGGCTATTGCCGCCCTCACCCAACTCCGACTACTCGTGCGTCAGGTTTTACCAAGCCACACCAGGGATCTTTTCACTTCCGTGGTATACATCGGACGCACATCCCTAGGATCCTCTTCTCAGAAACCACATCATGAAGTACTCGACGTTCTTGGCGGCGCAATTGGCGTCGTCGGCTGTAGCAGTGAGGCTTGCACCGCGAGAGGTAAGTGCGACTCTTGGCACCCCAGATTCACTGCGAAGCGAATCCTCCCGCAGCGCCTCGTGCGCATCACCAGAGCTTTGTCGAATGCGATGCTGACTTTTCCAGAACCCAAGAGTAGTGCGCCTGGATACCCAGCGCCGAAATGTCAATCCTGTCGCACACGACCAGCTACGAAGACGTCAAAATGTCGTCCAGCAAACACTTGACAACCTCGAGACACTCTACTTCGCCAACGCCAGCTTAGGCACCCCCGAACAGAACTTCCGCCTCCACATCGACACCGGCAGCAGCGATCTCTGGGTCAACTCAGTGAACTCGAATCTGTGTAGCCAAGGCGGCAACCAGTGCGGCGAATCGGGCACATACAACGCGAACGACTCTTCGACATACAACTACGTGAACGGCGCGTTCAACATCTCATATGTGGACGGGTCAGGCGCGTCAGGAGATTACGCGACAGACAACTTCCGCCTCGGCGGCCAGACAGTAGAAGACCTGCAGTTCGGTATCGGCTACGTATCGAGCTCACCGGAGGGTATCCTCGGAATTGGCTACACCATCAACGAAGTTGCCGTAGGACGCGCCGGATTAGAACCATACCCCAACTTGCCCCAAAAGCTAAAGGACGACGGTACTATCAACTCAAACGCATACTCGCTATGGCTGAACGACCTGGATGCGTCGACCGGAAGCATTCTCTTTGGAGGCGTAGACACCGACAAGTACTCGGGTGAACTACAGACACTACCAATTATCCCAGAGCGTGGACAATATGCCGAATTCATCATCGCTCTAACTGGTATGGGACAGAACGGCGAGAACGGTTCTATCTTCAACGATTCCAACGTACCGGTCCTGCTTGACTCAGGGTCCTCCTTGATGTATCTTCCCGATAATGTCGCCAGCGCTCTGTACCAGACCTTCGGCGCCCAGTACCGTCCTTCGCAGGGCGCAGCCACTGTCGACTGCGACCTTGCGAATCAGGAAGGCTCGCTTGAATTCAACTTCTCCGGTGTCACGATCTCTGTCCCACTCAACGAGCTTGTCATAGTTGCTGCCGTTAGTCGTGGACAGCCCGTCTGCATACTTGGCATTGGGCCCGCGGGCTCCTCTGTCGCCGTCCTCGGCGATACTTTCCTACGATCCGCATACGTTGTCTACGACCTTGAGAACAACGAAATTTCCCTTGCCCAGACAAATTTCAACGCCACCTCAGAAAACGTCCAGGAGATTAAAGAAGGCTCTGACGGCGTACCCAACGCTACAGGTGTTCCCAACGCAGTGTCTACTGCAGCTGTCGGCACTGGCGGACCCAGAATCGATGGTCCCAACATAACTGGTGGCGGTGGAATCCTGACCTCTACCGGCGCTGCCATGCCGGCCGCAACTGCAAACCCATGGGTTGGCGGTGCTGCGGTCGCTGGTGCGGGCATCTTCATGGGTTTCAACGGCTTCTGATGTGCGGACTACAATTTTCCTAATACCTGTCCAGCGTAATGAACTTTTTTACAATGCATACGTGCATCGTTGGCGTTATCAAGAGTGGCATGGATTACAACCTCTCGGTTAAGGGTTTTGCATATTCACCAACCTACCTGGAAGTAGGTCTGTTGCTTACATAGAAGCATAGCATTATCATGAATTTTTAACGTCTATTGCATCGCTCACAAAGTTACTTCTGGTTAGTGATAGTAAAAGCCAAAGTCGCGTTTGACTAGATGGTGACGACACCCGGGGCCTGACAGGACGCGTAGCGCCTGCCGCGTAATAGCTTCAACGCCTGGAATCACTAAGTCGCAAGTCGCGCATCATCACATGCATGAATAATTTTGACTTATCACGCCGCCATTCCGTATTTCCGCCAATAGCTGAAAATGTCTACGTACAACCGCCTTCATGCTGTAAGCTCCATACGCGTTCCCTTCGGCTTCAACTCTTGCCGAGACTACACTCCGAAGAGGTCGTCACTTTGACGCTCGTCCTCCGCCTACTCATTCGCATCATCTCACTGCTTAAGTTAGAAATCTCGCCACTCTTCAATGTTAAGATCGACGGTGGCCGACTTACCTGGTCCCTCAGGCACCTCCGTTTCCGAAATCCGATTTACTTGATGTGGATAATGTACCCGCTCGTTTTCAGCGGGAGGTTCGAAAGGCAACGGCTCTGATATGTCTGTATCCGGACGTCGCTGAAGCTCGATGCCGTCCCTCGGCGGCGCTTGCTCTGTTGCGGATGGGTCAGCGTTAGAGGCCTGTTGTGATGAAGTCGCCGCTGGAAGAAGCTGTGTCGCGCCGTCAGCGGGTTGTGTATGAGACGTACTTGCAACGTTGCTGTTTTGCTGTCTTTGTGACGTTCGTTCGGTCCACCGCTGTTGAAGGTAAGTGTAAAGCCGTACTACTGCGTTGCGTAGGGTGTTCCATAGCCCGGGGAAGAATTTTGGCCTGTAGTGGTGTAATGCCGCAATGGCAGCAATGAGGACGAGGAGGACTGAGGGGATGAATATCTCGTAGAACATCTTGTTGAGCATAGTTCCTTACTGTTAGAGCGGTATGAAATTTGTCTCGCCATAGAGAGTCTGTAAGAGAGTATTTATTATAGTGTGATTGATTGCTTGATGGAAACTCTTAAATGTTTGCTTCAACGAAAGGGTGTTCGGGAGACTACGACAACCTTTGAGGAGTATGTAAGATGAAAGAACGAGATGGACAATCATAAGAACGATAGATGGGTAAGGAGAAGGTTCCACAAATTTGATCATCTTCCGCGCCCCTCCTTAGACTGCATCATTCGTACCTTTACCACTGTACTTCTGCTGCTTGGCGTGTCGGAGCTGTACCACACTTTCATCGTCGTTTGTGCTGCCTCTCTTGTCTTTCTTGAGATACCTGCCAATGTATCCCCTCTCACCCCAAAGATGAAAAGGATCGACCAAGCCGTTCACTACTCCTCGCTTGTTCTTCTTCTTTTCTGCCCGAGCCGCCTCTAACTCCGCATCGCTCATATCCCAGAACTGTGTCTTCTTATCTCTCCCCTTGAACAGACCCCAAATATCAAAAGGGTCGAAGATGGTAATGATCCACGGTCTGTCATCACCCCAGCCTGGTCCTTTCCGTTCAGTCACGCCATCGCGAGCCAAGAACACCGAGTTGGAAGGAGGTAGACGTTTACCCGGATGCCACAGATTGAGTAAAGTGGTGTTGAGAAACATAATGACAGCTTCGAAGATCCAGAAGTAGATTTCGTTCTGATATATGGAGGACTCCCAACCGAGGATGTATTCCACGAGGCGATATATGCAGCGTATGGTAACGATAGTCGCACTCACGTACATGACGTACAGTACGACGCGTAGATCCTGCTTCAGTACGCCGGCTTTTTTGGCACGTCGATGAAATTGCGCAGCGAGAATACCAAATGCACCGAAGAGTGCTGCCTGGAGACAAAGCGATGCGGTGACGAGATCTGAGCCGAGTTGCCGTTCTGCATCGGTGGACCTTGAGTTGGCCATACGCCATGCACCTTGTCCGATGAGAATCTCGCATACGCCATCGAGGCCGATGAAGGTCGTTGCTACACGCCCTGGGTGTAGAGGTGCCAGGTAAGGAATGTAGTAAAGGAGTCGTGACAGTATGAAGTAGTTGATGAGCGCGTACACTGGCGGCCCGGACATGATGAGTACGGTCGAAGCTATGAGATATGCTAGATTGTCAGTGTCGTAAGCGCCTGCGAGACGCACTGCGAAGCCGCTGATCATCAGAAGAGCGGCCCACGGCAGGAGGACTGTTGTCCGCCATGACTTGTGCTTGCTGAGAGATATCAGTAGTGCAAAACTGCGACTATCAAGGTGTTTACATTGTCTGCCACGCATGTAGCGCTCCGGAGATGGAGAAGAGGATAATGAAGAGTACGGGCGCGGCTTTGTTTGGTGCATAGTACCAGATGCTGCCAGGCGAGTAATCCCCCATTCCCATCTTGAGAACGACGAATACGATGTCACAGCGATAAACTAACTGATGACTGGATTCGTGTAATTGATGAGACAAACTGTCCGAAAGTCAGAGGCAAAAAGCCGTTATTGCAGAGTAAGGGACAAGAACAATATGCGCCCAGATAGAGTCGCTAGCATACTGGCCCTTCTATACCTAGGACGCGAGATTAAATATATGGAGTGAAGCTCACGACAACACGTTCAAATAGCGCAGATGTCAGACCCCTCATAAGAAGGCCAATGCGATGAATGCGACGGCTGCACAGCGGAGCTCAGCTGAGGCGACTCTGCAAGGCATAGCACAGGGCTGAATAGGCGCATCTTCCCATCGGTAACAGGGTGAAGCGAGAGTGTACGGTTGTTGACCGGTGATGGGCAGAGGGTGGAAGGCTTGTGCAGCGACTGGTTGATGGAAAGACACACGTGATGTGGCGGAGACCTTTGATGAGTCCTTACCGAATTTGGATTAGTCCAGGCTAGCGGTGAAGCCGCCGAATGCGCAACGTACATCTTGCGACGGCATCATTACCCGCGCACTCAAGCAAACGACGTCTATCACATAATTCGCCGTTATACCGATAATCCCATCGTGCACGTTTCATGAGTGTGGCTGGAAATGGTGCGCCAGCCCTGGGTGCCAAAGAGGATGGTTCTAGGCAAACTCCAGCCGAACCTACGGTGATGGACGGGCTCTCGAGCTCTAAAGTGACGGGTATGCACCCCTGCAACTTCAACACCCCTATACTCATACTTCACAGTCGAGTACCATGACCCTTCAGGAGTCTTTTCATTGATACAAGAAGACTTGGCTGCGCGATTGCCCCTTCGTAACTTGCACTGGAAGGCTCCTACACGGCCACTACGGTCTATCGACTCCTTACATGTTGATCTCGTACCAAGTAAAGAATCAGCACAGGCTGCAAGTGCGGCTTCGTCGACTTCAGCATCTGGCCAAGGTACGCCCAATAGGAACACGGATGAGATCTTCAGGCCGGTTAACAAAGAGAAAGAGAGACGACATCAGATCCCAGGACTGCGTCAAACACCTTATCTGAAGGTCTATCTGTTGAGATGCGACGATTCAGAGACTTACAAGGCGACTGCGCGCAAGCAAGTTCGCGAGTGGGTGAAGGAACACACCCCACCTTCTCAAAGCAGTACGGCGAACACGCAGGAGAATCATGATGCATACGAATGGTTGATTCTACATGTTGTGGTGCCTGAGACGCCGGCAGCAAGCCAGCCTCGTGGATCGTCCAGTACCACAACCGGTGAGAAGGAGAAGTCCGGAGCAGCTTCAAGATGGACGCGCGGGACGACGACCTTGCTGGAAAAGCTTCGCGCCGACTTCAATGTCTCGTCAAAATCGGCACCCGATCGGGTAGCTCAGATACGGGTGCCAAAAGAGAGAGTTCCACAGCACATGCTTCCAGCTGCTGCACCTGCCGCCACCCCTGCTATTACTGAGAGCCCCCAGGAACAAGAGCGTGCTTGGGCTGATGTCATCGCTAAGTTCAAGGTATTGATCCTTCTTTCGTTTGACCTCCGGGTGAGCCAGTATGAAGAAGACATTCGCAAGAACGACGCGCAGCGCTCGTTTCCTGGTTGGAACTTCAATACATTCTTCATCTTGAAGGAAGGGTTGGCAAGAGGCTTCGAAAGCGTAGGTCTGGTTGAAGATGCGCTACTTGGCTATGATGAGCTTTCCATCGGTCTGGACAGCGTCATACGTGATCAGTCGAGCGAAGACGCGCAAGGAAGCGTTTTGCTCAGCTATTCAGACGACATATATCAGACAGCAGCAGAGATCGCACAGCAGGATGGTACTGATGGATCAGGACCATCCATACACGATGATAGGCCGATCAACGCTTTGAAGAAAGACTATCGCGGTCTCATCCTTGCAAACAACATTTCGATCTTCGACTTCAGGCTCTACATCTTCGCTCGCCAGATGTTCTTGCTCTTGAGGCTTGGAAACTCAGTCTCAGCACGTTCCGACCTTGCAGCCAAGCTACAACCTCGACCGAATGCCGGCGTGATACAGCGCTCGGCTGATGACAGCGCTATCGGTATGAAGTCGGGCGGACAAGGGAACGACTCAGAGGATCTGTTCTCTCTCGCTGAACTCTGCTCGCGTGCACTGAACTTCATCACCTTTGCTGGGCGGCTCTTGCGAGATGATCTAATTCACGGGTAAGTCCATCTACACCCAGTCAAACCACAGCACTAATCCATCGCTGTAGGGCGAAAGCTCACGATACCACATTCCCTGATCATCTCGTCGAGAACATCGTTCGTTCGTGGACTTTCGCTGCGCTGGAACAGGTCTTGCGTGAAACATCTACAGGATCTCTTCCATTTACGAAGTCCTCTGGAAACCTATCGGCAGGCTCTTCCGGCAAGAGCCTTTCGTTTGGTGGCCGCAACAAAGAACAAAAGATGAAGGTCTCAGAACAGAAGTCTATGATCCATCCATCCAGATCAACATCTTTAAATCATGGGCGACCAGTATCAGACATGCCATACTCACAACCTGCAGCCAATGCACAAGTCGTATTTGAGAACGGCCAGTATCACGATCGGCCACTACCTGGCCAACAGAGCACAATCCCTTCTGCCAAGAATGGATTGCAGGAGCTGGCTGGTACCAGAGCGCAGCTGCTCGCAATTCAGCGACGTTTGCTCGAACATGCAGGCAAGAGCATGGGTTGGAATATTGGCTGGAATGCTATATTGGCATCTCTGAGTGCTAGAGAAGAGCTCACTGAGGTTGATCTAGAAGACGAGGAAGAGGAAGAGGAAGAATCGAAGCAGAACCAATCTCGTACCGAAACGGAAGGGGAAGCTTCGAAGTCACGTCTCGGTATATCTGCCGCAGCGCTGGTCACTGCGATGACATCCATCAAGCAATTCCGAAAATTCTATGAGGTCAGAAGATGTGATATAATCCCGCATGAAGTTGCTAACTTTTACAGGTTTTGAGTGATCTTATCGTCAAGCACTATATGGCCGCAGGCCAGACCAAGTCAGCAGAAAGCGTGCTCGGGGATCTGGCTGCCCTCAGGTTGTATGTTTGCCACTTCTCAGATTATATCAGGCCAAATACTGATATCACTATAGTGAACTCGGTGACTTCGCAGCAGCCGCCATGTACTTTGGACGTATGGCATCGTACTTTGCGGAGAGCAGATGGAACACGGTCGAGACAACCATGCTCAAGATGCACGCACGCTGCCTCAAGAAACTCAACCGAAAAGATGAATATGTGCGGACGGTACTTGATCTCTTAGCCAAGTCTGCGGCGAGTCGAATGGCGTTCAAGAGTGCCTCGAAACGAGCCAGCATAAACGACGCAGGTGACATGCCTGGTGTCTGGCTGAACGACGACAAAGTGGACACTACTGATGTATTCCATGAACTCATCAGCTATTCGCAACAGCTACCCTATGATGTCACGGTCCAGATGCCGAAGTACTTTGGCGACATCTCGGTAGAGCCGTACGTTCGCCACTACGATGATAAGGATGGGTTCCAGCTGCGTCTTCAATTCAGACACCATCTTGAAGACGAGATCGAAATACGCGCAGCCAAGATCCGCTTGGTCAGCGCAGTTTCGAACCAGGCGAAAGATATATGGCTTGAGGAGACAGGAGCTATACAGTTGAAGAAGGGCTTGAATCGCATGTGGATCGGCTGCAACGTGAATACAATCGGACCGTACATGGTCGACAGGGTTGTCCTCGAAGCAAAGCGTATCGTCTTCGTACACGAACCTTTCCAAAAGGCTGAGGCGACAACTCCACTTGGCATCATCACTTCGGTCTCTGCGCATTCTCTCAAAGCCGCGAAGAAAGCTCGGATACTGTGCTTCCCCCGTAGCGAATCCTTCCAAGCCCGAATCTATCTCTCGCACTTCATCCATATCGACAAGCCGCGGCATATAGAGGTCGAGTGCTCAGCTGGCTGGAATGAGATTACGCGTGCAGAAGTCCGGCTAAAGTCTGCCTCTGCAGGTTTACGACTGCGAACCGCAAATGCAAGCGTGGCTTCCGGAGAGATCAAGATCGATGAGAGTAAGCCAACGCCGGGAGTCATCGCTATTGGTGCCATGCCAGCCGAAACTACAGCGACGTTGAAGGTGCCTTACGATATGGAGACAATATTGCAAGACCTTACTGTCAAGATCGACGTCGACTATTTCACCGCCAAGGGACAGTTCCAGTATACCTCGACCTTCGTTATTCCTGTTGAACTGCCTCTAGACGTCAACGTTCACGACCACTTCAAGAGCAAATCACTGTTTTCGAAGTTCAACATCAAGACCGCCAATCATGTACCGCTGAAGCTTCTAGATGTCGCATTAGAAGGATCAGAAGAGTTCGACGTCCATGCGCCAAGGCGTCCGAAAGAGGCTGTCAATGTTTTCCCGAAGCAGCCTGTCGCAGTGACATACAAAGTCACCAAAAAAACGATGGACGCTGCCAAGAAGCGACAAAGTCGGATTTCCACCACTGGCAGTCTATCATTGGCTGTTGAGTACCGATGCTTGAACGAAGACGTCCTTGAACGAGTGCGGGTGATGTTTGCTGAGGCTGTGGAAGACAGTCCAGTTCATCGACTTGCTCGTTTGCTTACCGACCATTTCGCTAGTCAACTAGAGCAACACATTTTGCCATCGCAATACGAAAAGATCGCATTACTGCAGAGGCTCGATCTGGGTGCGTTCGAGGAGGTTGGCTGGGCAGACTGTTTGGAGAGCTTACCGCTTGTCGTCCGTGATGACACGCAGACCTGGCTGCAGAAGTGGCATGAAGTAGGTACTCGTCTTCTTCGAGTGGACTGCGTACACTAATGTCTTGACAGAAACACCGAATCATCCTGCTCATCGAAGACGATACTGTTGATACGACACAGCAACCGATCGCTCCGCTATCGCCAAACCCACCCCGCCGGATGGTCATCACAGTCTCAATCCCTCAGACTCACATCCTGCACACTGCATCCCTATCTCTGAACTCGCCTTCATCCTCTTCTCAATCCACAATCGCAACCGTCGGCCAGCCTATCATGACCATCCTTCGCATCTCGCATACCCGCCGCTGGGCCTCGCCATCCAGCCTTCTCTCCGCCGCCAACCTCACCGAAGTCAATGAGCCCATAGACTTCGTCTACACCATCGACGCGAATCCTGAAGTCTGGCTCGTCGCCGGTCAACGACGTGCGCATTTCACTGCCAAGGAGGACGAAGAACATGAATGGCCCATCATGCTCATTTCGCTCAAGTCGGGGAATACGCTGTTGCCGAATGTGGATATCCGCGCGAAGATCAAGCCAAAGGAGGAGGAGAAGGGGAAGTCAAGTACTACGGAGGCGGAGATCTTGAACTGCGAGATTGATTACTTGAGTTACGGGGAGAGTGTTGTGGTTGTGCCGGATGTGAGGAGTAGTACGGTGGGCGTTGGGGAGATGAGTGTAGGTAGTCCGAGGAGTGTGGTTTGGTTGGAGAGCAGTGGGCAGGCAGTGTAGAGATGATTAAAGTGCAGCCAAATATGTTGGAAGCCGACACGTGAAAGGACTATAGAATCTAGGAACTTATCTTGTTGACCTGTATTCTTGAGTTAACAAACATTGGTAGTTGGAGCGACCAAGAAAGATGTTTGAGCTCCTACATGCAGGCGCCATCGACTTAACGAATACGAGGCTTAGCGCTTGATACTGTTGCTTGAGCGTCAAGCAAGTTAATTGGTCCACGCGGGTTTGCAAGTTCCATATTCGCGCGGTGGAAGTCGGATACGCGGACGAGTCTGTACTTTTTTGACAGAACCTCGGTCCTGATTCAGAGATTTCGAAGTTGTACAAGTACGCGATGTGTTTGGATAAAGGTGTCGAAGCTTCGGATGCACTTCCTGTGGTTCACGTTGACAAACTTATCGCCCACGTAATAGATTTCAGCCTTCTCAGGAATACGTCATGCGGAGGCTGAGATGCTGCGAGTTAGAGCCCTGTATCAACTACATAATAGGCTGCGCTTTCAAGAAACACTGGGCCGAGGCGGCCGAGATGCTCAAGGTAGCAAGTAAGGCAAATCTGGGGGGCAGTGATGTGCTGGCAAAAGCAAATCACGAACCACGCTAGTCCTCGGCACAGTGCATGCTATCGCAGCAGCTACCCAGGTACACCAAGGAAAATGCGGAGTTACGCTTGCCACACCGCACGCAAGTACTCGAAAGCTTAAATACTGATCCTTTGATATCTTCCTTGTGTCTTGCTGGGCAGAGTCGTGGCAAATGCCCTCGATCCTTCTGCTCTTAGGAAGCGAAGGTCCAGGAACGGATATGCATGACAAAACAGGGAACCGGCGATCGTCTACCCGCGTCACCCCTATGCGCTTACATGGCTTATATTGGCAGGCCCAATGTGTGGTAGAGACTACGCGCGGAATAGAACGCGATGCATGGATATGCCAATAATTGCCATGGTGCCTTCTCGCGCGACATTTTTGGAAGATATACACAACCAGCGTCGATGTGAGTATCAACTAGGCATACTTTGTGCTTTGGCAAATCCTCGAAGATTCTGGAGGCACCCATAGGATACACACCACGCCATCAAGTAAAAAGCAGGCACGCCACCAAATGTTCGTCCACCGAATCAGATGGCCATACGGCCTCAGCCTGGTCGCCCAATCTGCTTGGACGGCATGAACAGGTTCAGCTCGTACAAGGCTGAAGTGTGTCCCCGCATCGACTACGCCCGCGGGCGTCATCCGTCATAAGGACCTGAGCCGCAGCCTGTATCGCCCGTGGTGCTCGTCCAGCCGCCGCCTACGGAAGACTGCTCGAGAGTGGCCAAAACAATGCAGTACGACCGCAGAAAAGTTAGAGGGCCTACCGAAGAGATTTTGAGGTATATTTGACTACATCTGGAACATACTCTCGTGGCACTCACCTCAAAAGGGCTCGGCGAGACTCTTCGCGTGAACCGACCAGTCGAGTCGACTCTTTCCCCTCTACAATCGCGGAAGATCAATGCGACGCCTGCGAGAAACAAGACGCTGATCTCGCTTATTGTAACATTTGTAACATCAATTATTGTCCAACCTGCTGGCCACTTCAGGCCACTCATCGAAGACAACGACTTGCACCAGGAAAGGCTAAGCATGAGAAAACCGAACTTGCGCTAGCTAGGAAGATTCGAAATGTGCTTCTACCAACGAACAACATCCAAACCTTAACGCAACTACACGAGGATGATGCGCAGACAGCTTGGTTCGGTAAATGTTTGCGCGTCTTTGTCTCGTACTCTGCTAAATGTCACTGCGTTAGGCATCGAGCGGCCACAAGGCGGAGAAGTCCCAATCTTTAAGGACTACGGTCGATACGATTACTTGCTCTCGACTACGGTAGAGGAATGGAAGGTGAAGGGCGCACAGAGTGGGAGAGATGGCAGAACCCCTAGCTTGGTGTCCTTTGTCGGACAATCAGGTGCTGGAAAGAGCTCCTTGATAAAACTGTTGATCGACCTGCGATTGACCGGTGACGATGCCTGGCCAACGCCAGTCGTAGGCGGTACGGGAGTGATCGAGCCTACCTCCGAGGACGTACATCTCTACGCTGATCCGGTCACAGCAATTACTGAGGCACCCATATTCTTTGCTGACTGCGAAGGGCTTTCTGGCGGTGAACGTGAACCGATAAGTGCCAAGTTCAGACGGCAGCTGAAACAAACGAACGGGGCAAACGCCAATTTACCACAGCCCATCTCTGAGCGCGAACTGGGTTGGGCAGACACAAACAGTCTGCGCAGCCGAGAGTTCGCAGTTACCAATCTATATCCGCGGCTGTTGTACACATTCTCCGATGTCATTGTATTTGTTCTCAAGAATCCACGGTGAGTAGCCAGTTTATTCGAGGTCAGAACTATGGCTGATTTCCCACAGTGTCATAGAAAGCGTATTAGAGCAGCTCGTTACTTGGGCTGCAGCAGCTCTCGAGATGTCTTCCAACCAACCTGTCCTACCACATGTCATTATCGCACTTAACGCATCTGACCTCGACATTGACGAGCTTCAATGGGATCCGGACATCGCTACTGCTTCTGTTCTTGGGTCTCTATCGCGCACAGTCTTCAAGAACGCGGTGTTCAAGAAGTACGCCCAGTTCTGGCGTGAACGACAGCGACAGATTGAGACTGTGGAGCAGCTAATCCAATCATACTACACCACAATCAGAGTGAGGTTATCGGCAATGGTGACAAACTATTTGCTAACATACTTAGGTGGTCCGTATACCTACGAGGGAGCGCCCTCCTTTAGTTCAGGCTCAGATCAGAAGCCTCCACGCCAACATCACCGTTGCCTGCGAGATGGCGAGAGACCGGAAGACCGAACTTCGAATGCTGCTCGACGCCGAGGAGCTTCAATCGTACCTACAATGCGCATTTGATCACTTCGCCGCTTCTCTTGACCGCCCTTTCGACTTCGTACAAGCCTCATTCTCGAACAGCCCTATTCCGCTAGACTTTGGTGGCAACATACTGAAATTGGCAATAAGAATCATGCATGTTTGGCGCAATAAGGCGGACGCCCAGCAGATATTCCAAGAGCTAAGCTATATGGTAGCTTCATGCATCATGTTGGATTGTGCACGCCAAAAAACACGAGGTAGGACTACGGACCTGGCACGCCTGACAGGGAGCTGACACACCATAGGTACTGCAACGGATATTTTCCCACTCTACTTGGTACATCTTGACGCAGCCTTGGAGAACTTTTGCGACGGTCATTGGCCTTGCGAGTACGTGCAGCTGGTCACAGATTTGCGTTGTGTTAATGTGAAGAGTGGCCACGGTTCGAAAGGCCATCAGACTGCGAACGGCAATATCATTGCAGTTGGAGAATACATGTCCCGCTGGAACTACGAAACACTTCACGAAGAGTTCATCAACAACTCCTACTACAGGCTTGAGGAGCTCCTGGAGCGCCTGAAACGAAACAAGGCGCCGGGCGATGACGAGATGCAGGTCGCTGCTGATATTCACCGAGACGACGTGATGACCTGGTTCTACAGTCACGTTGCTGGAGACGGCAAATCACAAGGATATGTCAGCCATTCGGTCTGCTTCTGCTGCCTTTCGGAGCCTCCTGAACATTCTTTGCCATGTGGTCACGTACTGTGCACTCCGTGTGTGAAAACTTATGGGTGGCACCACAGTAAGACGGAGGTTGACATGCAGAAATGTCCACTAGACATTCGTGCTGCCCGCGCGTATCAGCCATGGAGAATACATTTCAAGCCTGAGTCGGCGGGAGTCCGTATTCTAACATTAGACGGGTAAAGCATTTCCCTCGACCGAATCAACATAAGCTGACATAGCATAGCGGCGGCATCCGTGGTATTGTTGAGTTGGAGATCCTGCAAGGTATAGAGACTGCACTTGGAGGTCAATTACGCATTCAACATCTCATCGACCTCATTGTAGGAACGAGGTACATGGTTGCGATCTTTTGATTAGATGCTGCTGCTGACTGTGTCTTATAGTACCGGTGGACTTGTTGCTCTGGGTCTCGCAAGCCGTAATTGGACTGTGGAGACCTGCATCAACAAATTCAAAGAGCTCTGTGACAAAGCATTCACCCGTCGGTTCGGTAGTAATATGCCTCTCATCGGATGGTTCGTCGACAACATCAATCATTCAAAATATGAGACCACGCCATTGCAGGAAGCATTACAAAATGCTTTCACGGAAGACCAATACCTCTTCGGAGGTCAGCGTCTAGATCAAAACTGGACCTCTCCAGTCAAAGTCGCTGTCACGACCACTTCCTCATCGTCGTCACCAGTAGTCCTAGCCAACTATAATCGCCGCTGCGAAGGGAAGCGTAAGTGTTGATGGACGCATATTGTGACGTACGACTAACGTGGTGTCTAGTTTCGTATCAGTTCCAGCGACCTGAAAGCGTCAAGAACGAGTTGAAGACTTGGGAAGCGTAAGTCCTCGTGGCGTACCTAGAGTCATGAAACCTGACGGCATCAGTGCACGAGCAACGTCCGCAGCACCACGATACTTCCGACCCTATCTTCACGAATCGTCCAAGCAGATATACATGGATGGCGCACTTTACCACAATAATCCGATCCGTATAGCGGACACCGAGTGGAAGTTGATCTGGAGTAGGGGTCCAATCACGCATCCTGACCTTATGCTATCTCTTGGAACGGGGTTGGCTGCAGATCAAGACGAGAGATCATTGAAGAGCCCAATCTCAAAGCGAGGACTGATCCGCAACGGGAAGATGCTTCTAAAAATTGCCACGGATCATATCGCAGACGCACTAGACTGCGAGAAGGCCTGGGACGACTATGTCAGGCCTCTCATCCTTCAAGATTCCTCATCAAGGTTCGTACGGTACAACGTCGAGATTGACGGCGAACTGCCAAGTCTCGACGACGTCAAATCTCTTCAACCGCTCCAAGACAAGGTATCAAGAAAGGTCTCGCAAGACCCTCGCATCACGAATATAGCATTTCAACTCGTGGCTACTTGTTTCTACTTTGATGTTGAGCGCATACAGCAATTTGTACAGAATTCCGCGGTCGCCTCGGGTACGTGACATCACAAGTGGTACACTCTAGGTATCTAACGTAGAAACTACAGGTCGCTTATATTGCCGTTTCGCAGATGGCTCTCTCGAAATGCAAGAGTTGGGAAGGCTCATTCGCACTCAGTCTTATCGAGACAAGAATCCACTCTTCCTCGTGAGGGAGAAGGGCATGCATGGCAAAATTGAATCACGGGAGCTAAGTCCTGATATAGTTGGATCCATGATCAGTCAGGGCAAGTTTCCGATGCGCAAGATGAACATTCAGCTGCGCAACAAGCTCTCTGATGTGGAGATCTACTTCTTTCTAAACGATGCGCAACAGCATTCCATCAGTGGATTTCCTCGTTGTTTGTTCAGTGATGGAAACGACAAAGCCAGTAAGTCTTGATGTTTCTGATGACCATGTGAAATTTGTTGACAATCATAGAAACGCTACATCCTCAAGCTATCAACACACGCCGTTGGGCTGGAAGGTCGAATAGCAGAAACTACCAACGGACGCTGTGGATACCTCCATCTAAGTCGAAGATATCTCGGCGCGGATCGATCTCTCACTACTCCGATCCAAGCCACGTTATGGGATACGCTACACAGGAGCAGATGGAGAAGACCGCAGAGGCGCTGTCGCAAGGCAGCTACTCTAGTACCAACTTGGCGTACAAAAGCTCTTCAGCGACTATCACACCGGGCATCTGGGAGCTGGACTCCACCAGTAAATCCCCAAAATTTCCAGTGACTATCATCCCAGGAATTTGGGAAATGAGGGGAGAACCAAGACGTCTCCCCGAGCTAGATGGGGGTGATGCCCCTTTAGCATCTTCATCGTCAGCCCAGACTCGCGGTAGCTCCTCCAATGCGCGTCTGAACCAAAGCAATAATGCCTCTAATACATCTTTGAGTGTCGTCAGTGTAGTTGATCCGCTCTACGCAGATCCAAGGGACCAAGCTAGCCGAAGAACAGACTCTGTCGTCGACGCAACTGCTTCAGATGTCTCTGATCAACAAGCAATCCTTCCGGGCGATACTGAGTCCGAGACGGCTGTTGCCCGAAGAAACCAACTCGCTCACTCTTCGTCTGAAGTAGCTCCAACTGCACACAATCACATCACTACACATGATGAGGACTACGTGGCTTTTACATGCCCACGACGCGAGCCTCGTGACCTTATGGAAGAAGAGGTGTACCGAAAAAGGACAACGAGACTGGTCGTCCCAGTGCAGAAGACGCAACCTGAAGTTACGGCGGCCATATCTGCGTCCGTGGAACAGGACACTGCAGAAGCGACCTCAATTGTCGTGCCACCAACTCCTTCTCCGGAGATTGTACCCATTCAACGTGTACCCAGTCTGCCGCACACACTACCTCCACTGGATGCCTTCGAGACTGTAAGCTTCTCCATCAATATGCCCGGAAGTGCACCTACAGATAGTCCCGTCCCTCTTTCCAACGACCCAGACACAAACAACCAGTGGCGCTGGGACATCCAATTCTGATCATCCGGCCAGCTCCGGATAGCCACTTGGCACTTAAGGAGGTTCGATGACTGAAATTGTGGCTGAGAAGGATAGGGAACTGGAACCTATATAGTATGATTTGAGCTTGGTAGCGAGCTACTTGGCCTGCCTGACGCGATAACACCAGTACACAACCAGACGCGTAGCAGTCACCGTGTGAACTATAATTTGTAATGAAATCGATTCTTCGAGCTGTTGTATCATCTTGTGAAGGCACCCGTAGGTGCGCTTTTACCATAACTCCGTCGCTGAAGATGCAATGCAAGTGTTCCTTTCTTCATCATATACGGCATCCGACAAATGCTTCCAGCCCTTCTCTTCAGGTATCTGCCTCTAATCCTTAGGAAGCATGTCCTGCTCACTGCCGTCTCTGGGCACGTAGTTGATACCCGCGCTCTCTACCGCGCCAATCACGTCTTCCGGGAGGATACCCTCGACCTGGGTCGCGTAGACGCCCGGGACGTAGCCCTCCAGACGCTGATATCTGGCAACCCAGCTCCTTGATGTATCCGCGACAGTGATGAGGCCTTCGAAAACCTGTGATGTGCAGTCGTTGATCTGCTCGGGGTTGCCGGCGAGCTCGATGATCTCTTCGCAGTTGGGGCAGCCCTGAGTGAGGAACTGGTTCTGGGTTCGGACAATCGAGCAGACCATGCAGGCGCGCATGTTGCGCTGCTGGCCTGGGGGTATGTGCGCACCGCCCTGGATCATGTTCTGTGCCATCTCGGATTTCTCGACGTTGGTACGAGGGTACGCGGGCGGCTGCTGACCTGGCTGATGGCGGGTTTTGGGTGTGACAGCGGGGCGCTCAGTACGACCAGGGAGATTGGCGTCTAGAGAGGAGTTGTCGCGACCTCGACCTGCAGCGCGCGGACGTGTAGGAGGATTCTGAGCGGGAGGATGGGGCTGCTGTAGAAGCTGTTGATGGTGAAGCGGAGCCTGGTTGTCGAAGACGGATGTAGGCGACCCGAAATACTCGATGGGAGGACGGAAGTCGTCGTTGAAGCTGACAGGAAACAGAGCGTCCGCAAGTGTCCTACTTTGTTCCACGGTTCCGGAAGCTTGGCGAGGCTGTCGGCGCTCTGGCTCTGGACCTGACTCGGGCGCCGCTTTAGAGAGGTTTAGTCGCTCACGCGAGGCTACGGGATCGACATTCTCCAACTCATGCGCAAAGTATGGCTCCTCGTTTGCCCTGTTACTTCCTCGGGGGCGTGTAGTAGCGCGAGGTGGGGTGACATCAGGCTCGACTTCGTCGCCATCAGAGTCGACGGTGATGTAGCGGTCTTTAGGTGTCTTGACCGTTGCCCTACCCTTGCGCGCCATGATGTCTAGTCGGAGCCGAGGTCTCTGGTTGGTTGGGCGTTGGTGGAGGCGTTTAGCGGCAAGGCCAGGCGATGGCGGGACAGACTCGTTTGATAACTTTCGGCGGGCAGTGCGGGCGACAGGTCACCTTCATTTTGTTGCCGTACGTCACTGGTTTGCTATTCAAATCTCTTAACGCGCAGGGACGCAACTTCCCTCCCGTCAATCAACAGGTGCACCAGCCCGTCGCGCCTTCTGCAACTACACCCGCTGCCCGCGTGTCTCGCATAACCCAGCTTGTCCCGCACTGCGTCGATACATCATGGGTGCCCCGACCGACGAAGCCACCAAGCTCAAGGACCAGGGCAACAATGCCTTCAGGAACCAGGAATGGGACAATGCCCTTGAGTTCTACACCAAAGCGATAGAGGCCTACAACGCAGAGCCCTCGTTCTACACTAACCGCGCACAAGTACACAGCCCACCTGCGCCTCACGAGCATGTACTAACCTATCCTCCAGACATACATCAAGCTCGAACAGTATGGATACGCTATACAAGACGCCGACACGGCGATTGAATTGGACCCAAACAACGTCAAGGTACTATTGTCGCAAACTCACATCGTCATCATGACGCTCATTGCAGCACCAGGCATACTACCGCCGCGCCTCAGCGAATACCGCCATCCTCAAGCACCGTGAAGCGCTCCGCGACTGGAAGCTCGTCGTCAAGAAAGCCCCCAACGATGCCAACGCAAAGCTGCGCATGGCCGAGTGCGACAAGGTCGTCAAGCGAGACGCCTTCCTCAAAGCCATCGAGGTCGAAGATGCGCCGTCGGCAGCAGAGGGCCTAGACTTGGAACACATGGCCGTAGACCCCTCATACGATGGCGCAAAGCTGGGAGACAAGATGACACTGGAGTTTGTCGAAGACATGATTGAGCGATTCAAGAACGGAAAGAAGCTGGCCAAGAAGTACGTCTACCAGATCATCATCGCAGTCATGGACATTGTCAAAAAGGAGCCTACCATGGTCGAGCACGATATCGCAGATGGAAAAGAGATCACCGTCTGTGGTGATACTCACGGTAGGTCTTACCAAGAAAGTGTGCATTGACTGTGTACTGACAAGCCTAGGTCAATTCTTCGATCTCATGAACATCTTCAACCTCGCCGGCAAGCCCTCCGAAAAGAACGCGTTCCTCTTCAACGGCGACTTCGTCGACCGAGGCTCTTGGTCCACCGAAATCGCCCTGCTGCTTTACGCCTACAAATGGCTATACCCTGATAGCTTCTTTCTGAACCGCGGAAACCACGAGACGGACGACATGAACAGGATGTACGGTTTCGAGGGTGAATGCAGGGCGAAATACACCGAGCGGGTCTTCAAGCTGTTCTCGGAGTCCTTCTCCGCACTTCCTCTGGCCACCCTCATCGGCAAGAAGTACTTTGTGCTTCACGGTGGCCTCTTCTCTGACGACAAGGTCACGTTAGATGACGTGCGAAAGCTTGACCGATTCAAGCAGCGTCAACCGGGACAGTCTGGGCTCATGATGGAGATGCTTTGGACCGACCCGCAGACGAACCCAGGCCGTGGACCCAGCAAGCGCGGTGTCGGTCTGCAATTCGGACCCGATATCACCAAGCGCTTCTGCGAGAACAACGGTCTCGAGGCTATCATTCGGTCGCACGAAGTACGCATGGAGGGTTACGAAGTCGAGCACGACGGACGCTGTATCACGGTCTTCTCGGCACCCAACTACTGTGACAGCACCCACAACAAGGGCGCATTCATCAAGATCGGCCCAGAGTACAAGCTCAAGTTCACCCAGTTCGACGCCGTTGCGCATCCGAACATCAAGCCCATGGCATACGCGTCAAGTGGCATGGCCGGCATGATCTAATGAAATTGAAGTAAGTTGGTTCAGTCATTGTTCGCAGCGATGCATACTTGGGTGTTCTTCGGCGCATCAGCATACTCGGAATTGGTTGGGGCTGTGTTTGATCTTTCAGGATTGATTGGGAAGGAGCGCTGCTATACGAATGTACTATAGAGCCTGGATGAAGGCACAATTCCGACGTCGATGTACACGAAAAGCATCGAGCAGAAATATAAGAGCAGAACATTACCTTCTGCGCGTCTGACACGCTATCTCGGGTAGCGCGTGGTAGATGCGTTGCCCCTCACACGCGGCCCCACGTGTTGCATCCCCATGCGGCTAAGTCTGTTGACAAACATGGGTCGTCCTCGCCTTCCATCTCATCGCGTCCGCCAACCTGCTAACAAAGCGCCCTTTACGCCTGATCTCGCCGTAGATCTATGACACCGGCACCCTGTCGCATCCCTCAATGTTTCTATATCAGCAATGTGAAGACTAATCCACTTGCGCAATCACCATGTCGCCGTATCAACAAATCTTCTCCACCAACGCCGTCCTAAGCGTCTGGCGCAATCTTCGCAATACGAAAGATAACAACGACCTTCTCCTCGCATTTCAGTACCACCAAGACGATGCTCGCGGGCAGAAGGGCAAGAAGTATGCCAAGGGCGGCGTTGTGGAGAGCTCGCAAGAGGTCGCAGATGGAAAAGCGATCGACGTCGGTGGCAAGAGCATTGGCTTCGTTGTACCATGGCGGGCCATGCAGGCTCAGAGACGCGAACTGAAGGAAAAGGAAAAAGAGCTCGCTGAAGCACTAGTGGCACTGGCTGGAGAGGTTGCCTTTACGGGTATGTATCCGGGATGGTATTTGAAGTCTGATAGAGTATGCGCATATACTGACTGTCCACGATAGATCTCTCTTCCACCCTACAGTCTTCGCTCACACAAAACCCTCTCATCCAGATTCGTCACCTTGCCGCTGGTCTGTCCCGTCAGATGTCGAGGATCGAGATACAAATGGCCGACAATGCTCCTTTCGCAAATGGAAAGAATCTATACACCGGCGGAGAGATAGCGCAAAGGTTCCTCCCGCCGATACAAACACTCTTCCAACAGCGGCCCGTACCCCAGCGCATGATCTTCGAACTGCTCATGGAGTTGAAAGACCTTATCTACATGGGCATGGCAGGCTGTGAGAAGGAGGTCTTAGAGTGGGAAGTGGATGGCGCTGCGATCGGAGCGTTGGAGGAGCTGGATGATGCGATGGTCAGAGCAGTCACACCAACAGTACCAGCCATCGAACCGGAGCAACGAAAAGGGGTTGAGACTGGGCCCAGGCGTATACTAAGGCGCAAAGCTTCGAGCCTCATCTCCAACTCTGTTGTAGTGCAACAGCCAGTCTCCTTCCTCCTTGCAGCGCCAGAAGAACTCCTTTACAGTCTTGAATCGCTCGAAACAACAGCACTCGCGCTTACACACCTTCCACTCCCTATACCCGATCTCTGCGCACACGCCATTATAACCCTCCGCCGTCTCACGCCTCGGCAAACTCTCACAGACTTCTCGCAGCAGAAGAAACGAAGGAATGGCCGGTGTGCAGAGTTCGCGCGCTGTATGAGGTGGGCTGGTACGCAGTGGCGGCAAAACGGTGGCTGCAGAAGAGGTTGCTTGAACGAAGATGAAGATCCAGAAAACCTTCCTAGCTGGCATAGGAGCAGTCGCTGGTTCGACGAGAAGGGCAGTGGGACATTTATGGTTGGTGGAGGAAGGGCGACGCCGAAAGATGATGGATTCGGTGTCATCAAGATGACGCCTTCGTAGGCAGCCCGCGGTGGGATTCAGGAACTCTTTCAGAACTGGCGTTATGGATGTACATGTACGAAGGGATGGGGTTGGACGATACTCGGCGCAACGATACCCTTTTTTATTTCTTGGTATATATAGGGTAGGAGAACCGCTTCTGTGAATACACTGGTAGTCTTCGGGAAGGACTGGAGGCATTGCTTCGTCTATATATGGCGAGAGAAAGTGCACAGTCACTAACACGGACAGGAATGCAATGTACTACGTAGTCATGTTTGAGATATCTCGATCTCTTTGTACATTTACCTCCTCAGGCCGTACGAGACCCGCTCTTCTTTAGTTCACGATAATATTAGAGACCCTGTTGGGAGTCAATCGGCTGTGGGTCAGCAGAGACTCAAATCTGGGGTGGGTCTGACAGCTTACACACACGTTGGTGTCCGCCTCTCAGATCAGATTCGGGCGTCTCTAGTGCTATATACGGTCACCTGGGGGTCTGGCGAGTCGTAGACTCACACGTAAATCAAACTCACATACCACGATGGCCTTGAGTCGAAGCGCGAGGGAACAGTCACTGTGTAACGTCTGTCGAGTATAAAAGGCGGATGATCAGTAAAGTATCTTACTTTCTACACTGCATATCCACTCCAGTATCCATACCAAACAAGCTTTAACCAAGTCTTTACGAAATCTTCCCCCAACAACTCAGCCCGCAACAACCCAACCAGTCACCATGAGCCACGACACTGAAGTCAGGGCTCCCGGCTATGATGACACACGCGAAGTCGAAAACATCCCTTACGGAAACCCTTTTTGGGACCCGAACTTCGACCAAGGCTCGTCCGACAAGACCGGCGCCTGCACTGAAAAGAGAAAGCAAATCAGATCAGACGCAGTGGTACGGATATGCGAACAGGGCGATGAGGGTCGCCGCGGCAAGGCGGATAATAAGAGCCTCCCCGTTGTTGAGGTCGAAACGTACTGGAATACTCTGTGGAAGGAAGCGTACAACGATAAGCTCATGGAAGAAACCTTCGAGAAGGTCGCAGTGAGGAAATACAAGAGATACAAGGTAGTGTTCCGATGGGCGAAGTGCGGACCGAGATGGTGTGGCCTGATGGTGCAGAACACGAAAGAATGCCCACATGGAACGATCTTGTGGCTTGATCAGAGGCCGCCTGGGTGGAGCGAGGACGGAGAGGGCTGGGAGAACGGGGAGAATCCTTTCCAGTTGTATTATAGTGGAACTCACTATGGGAGATTTGACTACTTCGACAACGAGCAGGGCGTTACGGTGAGGAAGGAGTTTGCAGCTAAGGAGGGTGAGCAGATCAAAGAGGTAGTTTGGGTTGATGGATTTGATTACTGATGGGATATCTTTGGGAGATCTGGAATAGCTGTTCATGGTCTCACGATTATGACATAGAGGAAGTGGGATAGACTATGGACATAATACATCCCTATACCTCTACTTCGTTTGTACAATTGATACGTCAAAGCGCGCGCCATACATGTGCTTCTCGGACGTGGTGAGATTAAACCAGATTCACTAGAAGACGAAGGCAGAGATGAGAGATTGACTGAGATACATGATTGACCATCTCTCAAAGAGATTCATTGGAAAGGCTTAGCTTTCCGAGCGTGTGAGTCGTTCGACGCGGGCCAGTATTCAACATCGCACGGCCTAAGTCTTCATCTTTTTCCTCGGGACGTCCTTACTCTCTCCAAGGCCCCAAGCGTCTTCACTCTTCTTCCTCAGTGCTTTGTTGATAGCTTCCATCCGTAGAAGCGTCGCATGTAAAGCCACTGGGTGTTCAAAACACAAAAACATTGAGACTCTGACCGTGAATGCAGAAAAGTATTTTCGAAGGACTTTGTCGTTGCTCTTGCTACTTGCTGTGCTGGCTGTGAGACCTATCCATAAGAGTATGCCGGCCATGTCGTCCCAGCAGTTAGATAGGTCTGAGTTTTCAAGTGTATCGCGGAGCCGTTGGAGATGTTCTGCATGGCTTTCAGATCTGTCGAAGGCTACTGAATGAAGAGAAGGAGAGCTTCCACGTGTGGATATGGACGAAAGGGTCGAGAGCCGAGAGGAATCTGTGTCCGCCGTAGTTTCAGTGTGTGTTGAGCTTGCAACAGATTCCGCGTATGAATGTGCGAAGGGTACAAAGGAGCTGTCATCCAAGTTCATCGTTGACGTACGGTGAGAGGTGAGAGAGTCATGGGAGAGTGGCAGTGTTGAAGACATAAAGAGATCCGGAGCAAAAGTGGTCGTGTCTATGGGACCAGGCACTTCTGAAAATAATATGTGCCTTGTGATAGCTGTGGCTTGGATATACGCGGTCAGCTGGACCGCTTCATATCGCCAGTCTTGAACGCTTTTCGAATCGAGATATGGCTGGTCATCTGCAGAGACATCTAAAGTAGCGAGTTTCTCAGTTGATGTTGGAAAACATTGAGAAATGGGATCCCATGGCTTCGTCTAGAAGGTGTTCTTAGCACAAGCGCAAAGCTAGCGTTCATGGCAATGTTGAAGCTTACCTCGTCCAAAAAGCTGTCAACCATATGGCGCACATCGTCCACCAACTGGAGATTTCGTTGGCTACAGCGGATGGATCTTTTTAGCGTAACGTAATGTCCGTGAGGACACCAGAGCGGGGATTCTGGCACTGTCTCCGCGATAAGGTTATCCACGACTGAGCGAGACGTGCTGTACTCAATGAATGCGCTCATTGGTTGCACCTCGTTAATAATGCCAGCCTCTAACACAAGCCACGATGCCATTGATGCTAGGATCGGATCGAGCTGGTGCAGTCCTCCTCGTAGTTTGATCATACTAGTCAATCCATCCATGTGGAATCTCAACCCTGCAAACGCACCACTTATGACGTCTCCAGCGATGAGCTGCACTACTGCTCTGATGTTGTGATCAGCAACACTGCTCTCTGGGTTAGTAAGATTTCCACCAACAATATGAATTATATCTTGTCGCAATGCTGCAGTTTCCAGGCGCTCCACTTCTCTTTTGGACACAACGTCGTCATATGACGATGATATGTAAAGAAGACCAAGGAAGGTGTGCGGGAATTCCAGAGATTTCGGAACCCATTGCTCCTCCATGCCCGAAGTCATGAAGTAGGCAAGAACTAGACTATGTCAAAAACATGTCGACTTTCATCAATATTATACATACAGTCATCTTTCACCCGCTCCATCGAGGGTTGATTGTTTCGAAATTGGGACATTGTGCCGAAAGCGTCTAGACTGGAACCAAGACAACGTAATAGAGGTACAGGCATCTGTTTGAATGGAGACTCGTGTCTGTCAGTGCGTGCGGGGCGTACTATTGGTGCTGAACCAATTTTCATAGATGGACCAGGCGCAGAAGTCACCCCAGGGGCTATGGGTATTGACCCTGATTTGGTTGAAACATCTGATCGACCCTTTGCTAATGCGCAGTCGGCGGCGACTTTTCTAGGCGATGTCGGTGTGTCAAATGGATAGTGAGAATCCCTCGTAACGTGTTCTGTCTTTCGCTTTCGCCTATCAAGCTCACCATGGTAGGCAGGCGTGTGCATTTGGGGCGATTCTACATATTCGTTAAGTTCAATTAGCTCAATTCTAAGCACGCTTTGTTGCGAGCTCGGTTACGTTAGTTCATCGGGAAAGAGCCGCACCTTCTTTGATCGGAGGCTCAAAGCCTACAAACTTGGCAAATCCGTCTTCTATCTTTGCCGCATGGTTGTTATGCGGGGAAACAATGGGTTCGGGGGACACTGGACTCAGAGAAGCGGTAATATCACCCAGGTTTCCACTGGGATACACCGATTCCTGGAAATTCGGAGGTTCGCAGAGTATCTTTCTCTCATCGAGCGAGGATTCCGCACTGCAACTGGACAAAGCACGGGCCTCGGTGTCTGTTCTTCGTCAGTACGATATTATCCACGCCACTTTAACGTGAATTTGAAGTGTCCTCGAACCTTGTAAGCTTATCGTGTTGGGGCAAGCCACAGATATGCTCATATTGAGTTCCCATTGCGTTCCAGATGTTTCAAATACTCTTTTTGCCGGCACTATGTATGCAATCTCTTTTGTCGTCGATGTCGCAACGACGTGTCCGTAGGGCTCTTTGGTTACTGCGTCCAAGATACCAACACCACAGTCACCCCATTCAAGAGCAAAGTCTAGTACGACTTGGTGCACTTCCTGGAAGCTGGTACTATTAGGTAGTCGCATTGACACCGTGTCGTGAGTTAATCGTCCGTTGACAGGACCTTGAAAGGTATGTGCGACGACATCCGCACCCTTCGTAATGTGAGCCAGAAATGCGTGATTGTCCTCGCTTTCCTCCATTGTTTTGAGGTCGTGGACAGTGAAAGCCACGTCGGATTGACTTATCTCAATCACTGCCCAATCAAGCTCTACCGAATGTTGCTTCACAATGCCCAAATGTCTTAAGCTCTCTGGCGGGGGCAAAGCTTGGGTGTCGAGCGAGCTGTCCATGAGTCTTCGAATAGGAGATGATGCTAATTTTGTTTCCAAGCTAGGAAATGCTGGATCTCCTCTTGGTGAAGAGACCTTGGATTCGGTCTCTGGAGAAGGTGTTGCGGAAGCGGACTTAGAAGTGATCGAGCTCGGACGATTGCTATGGCCTTCTCCTAACGAGCTGACGCTAGCCATGGAAGTAGCGGTAAGAAGATCATGTTCCTCTTCATCCTCCGTCCCGCTTCCGAAATCATATTCGCTATCGTAGCCAGCCGGACCATTGGATGGTGCAGATACGTCATCGAAGAACACATGCGACACTGATAGGTATACGCACTTGCGGTCTGCAAAGACAGCATTAGCTGTGGCCCTACGGACAACATCGCTAGATGTTTTGACGAATATAGGCATCCCAATAGCCTTGATGGGACGCGAGGTATCGTAATAGACCTCATAGGTCGCGCCAGATACGCTCGACTTTTGACCGCTATAGGTCCCAGTTGCGGGTTGTATCAGTCTGCCCACTCCAGGTTGTCTAGCCACATGGCCAGTTCGAAACCCTGGTAGCTTCTCGAGAAGACCACCTTGATCGAGGGTCTTCTTAGCTTTCTTGCGTGGCTCTTTCTCTTCGCAGAAGAACATGATTGTCGGTATGGCCGATTCTGCCGATCGACCTATCATGTATAGACAGAAGTGCACCGTGGTGACGTACCGATCCGTAAAGAGTTCCTTAAGCTGCTCTCGAATTTCTGTTTCGACAAGGCTAAACTGTGTTCGAGCCGGCCCTGTGGCATTCCACCAGTACCTGTCGTTGATAACGCCGAGTTCGGTTCCTATGCAGGCGCTTACGTCCGGATACGTCCTTGGTGCCCGTTCCCAAAACCGGACTCCCCTGAGATACGTTTCGTTCATTTCGACGGCGCATAATGCACACGTGCGGACGAGGTCACGTCATTGGATTTGCGACGCGACGCGAACCGAAATGATGTAGATGTAAGGGTGATGGGTATATGTCAGGCTGAGAACACACGGCCTGTTAGAAGTAAAAAGAGGGGCTTGCGTTGATCTTGGTGATCAGGCTCAGCCGAGTGGTGGCGTTGAGCCGCGCTGCTATTGGAGGTTGAACATCCTTGACCGGTCAGACGTGCAACCTCTGAAGGAGGCTATGCCTTGCGTGGCTCTTCAAAAAATGAACGATGTGTACATACATCGAAGGACCCGATCGGTAGAACGACAGCGACAGAACCAACCGCTCTAGAATGGCGAAGTATGCTAGCCCGCTCGATGAAGTCCTTCAGGATCCCGTCACGCCTTTTGCTAGAGTGGACATTGTACATCATCTGTGGAAATCTGGAAGCTCTCATCCATCCAAACGTCTCGAATACACCTGGGATGCATACTTCAGATATTATACTCGCGAGTGTAATGCAGCCTTGACTGATGGAGGCGTCCATCTCTGTGCGAGGACGCATCGCAGCCTTCTCGAAATCGCGCACCTGTTGGAAGGCGGGTTTGGCCAGCAACAGATAAAAGAATCACTTCGCAAAACACTCACAACCTCGAGGTCACCTTCTGACGAGGAGCGAATGTTAGACGGATCGCTGAAGTTAGCATCTCGCATATTTGCGATGGTCAGCATCGGACCGCTTTCATCCGAATTATCCGCGAAACATTCTCTGCCCTGGAGCCAAGGCACGTTTACGGATGCCGTGCATGAATATTTCAACCAGCCTCCGGATGTCGAACTGGATCCCAAGGACGATGTTGTCAGTACAGACCTCACCTGCTATAGCATTGAGCGGATGTCAGGTATGGAAGTGCAATGGACCGATAACCTGCTCGATCATCTGCGCCTCGTGGAAGGAGACAAGAAACTGTGTGTGT